CTGCACTCACGAAATCCTTGAGATTCTGAGTATTACCAACTCAGGGTGATGATTTCAAAACTCTAGCAAATGACTTCGCTTTTCATCCTAAAATGAAAGAGCCTTACCTCCTAACGAAGGATAGTGACGGTTACAATTCCTTTGAATAGTACAAACAAGCTGTTTGACAAGACTCTTTGTATTCCTTCCGGGTTTCAAGGTGATGTGATGGATGCTTTTTCACATGTGGCTAGTTTATCGGCTAGAGGGTGCGAGTTTCAAGGAGCCACGTTGGATTTCATTTAATCCTCAAACCGTTTAAATTTCAAATTTACAAGAAACATATAAAAGGCAGTCCATATATCCTTTTATACTTACGTATTCAAAATCTCAGAAGATCAAAAAGCCCTAATTCTTTGTTCTTCAAAATTTATGTTCAAACTTTTCAACAATGGTAGATACTCAGAATACCACTACTGAAGAAGTTATTTCTCAACCAATCATGAAGATTCAAAGCACCAACTATCAGGTTGAAGATGATGTGTTGCTATATCCGGAAGAACTCAAGATGCTGATTGTGGCTCTTCAACACTCAGGTCTTGCCACTGTAATGTTCAGTGCATTTGAAGTTCCATTGTCCTTGTTGTCAATTGCAGGTTCTACTGAAGGAACGATTTACCTTTCAGAAATGGACCGAGATCCGAATATCAGCAGTTTCGAGTATTAGAGAAGGATGTCCTAAAGACTACCTTCCAAACTCGATGCGGACACTTCGAGTCTGTAGTGATACCCCTCGGATAGGACCAATATGCCCATAGCATTCATGAGCTTAATGGGTAAGGTACGCTATTCTTACTTGGATCTGTTCGTCATTCTCCTTATAAATGACTTACTTATCTACCCTCGTAGTAAGAAGGAAATCATAAAGAGCACCTACAACAAACCATGGAACCAATACGATCAAAGAAGCGTTATGCATAGTTCTCTAAATACAAGTTTTGGAATTGAAGAGTCAAAATTTCTTAAGACACACTACTAGTGATGTGGAAATTCTTGAGGACCCTTGCAATTTATCAAAACCGTTGAGAATTTGTCAGCACCGAAGATGCCGTTGGGAATTCGTCAAATTTTAGGTCTTGCAGACCTACTATAGTAGTCCATTTAGAACTCCTCGCAAATTACAGAACTTCTTACGACTTTGACCTAGGAGGGAGTGGCCCTTGACTGGGAAGAGAAGCAAGAGAGAGAAACCCTTGGAACTCCAGGAGAGAGACCAAATTCATTTGGAAGTCTCACTCTGTGAATGGCTTGATACGCTTCAGAAAGCGTGGAAAGCTTATTCCAAGGTACATTGGGCCTTTCGAGATTCTCGCAGGAATCGGCCCTGTAACTCACAAACCCAACCTACACCGCGAGCTCTGTAACGTACATTTTGCCCTTCACGTCTCGAACTTGAAAACGTACCTTTCCGTCAGGACTCTCGTAATCGCACTCGACGAGATCGAGATCAATGAGAGCCTCAACTTCGTGGAAGAACCAGTAGAGATCTTGGACCGAGAGGTCAAGAAAACGAAACAAAGCCGTATCCCGATTGTGAAGGTTCACTGGAACACCAAGCGAGGACCGAAATTCACATGGGAGCGTGAGGATCAAATGAAACTAAAATATCCTCATCTATTCTCTTAGATATCTGTAACTACTTTATTTGCTTATACTTTAATTTCGGGACGAAAATCCCTTTAATGGGGGGATGATGTGACAACCCGAAATTTTCTTTCGGTCAAACCCTAAAGTCAATCACTTCAAATTATAAGTCAAGTTCATTTTTAATTGTTGCTAGCAAATTTAAAGTTCGTTTGATTATTTTAATAATTATTCTTTAAACGAATGGGTGAAAGGAAGTGCCATCTCGAGTCTTGAAATTCCAAAACCGCAAGTACCACGTAGTTAGGAAATTCACTGCCAAACTTTTATGTTTGGGCCATAAATCCTTCCAAAACTGTAAACTCATGCCTTAAGCATGAGTTTACTCCCCAAAACACCTCACTTCTTACTTGCAATCCCAAGAGTAAACTCAAAATACTCTCAACTACCATCCCGTCTTTCACCCGATTTCCCAAAAACGTAAGTACTTCTTGGCTTGATTTGTTATTATATCATAACAACTAGTATTTATACATCATTTCATCTATTCAATTATTGATTTTCATTAGATCTTCAAAACACCAAGAACACACACTAGTGTTCTTGGACCTTAAACACCCAATCGAGCTCCGATCTTGTAAGTGCACTTGCTATAGCTTCTTGTATGCTTAGTATGACCCTTATAACACTTGAAAATCATAAAGAAACCATAGAACCAAGTATTTTATGACCAAGGACGATCTTGGTCCATAAACCCCTTTCCAGATGGTAAATTGGACCTTAGCTACTTCCTATGCATGGGATGCCAACCTTGATCCTTCCTAGAAGTGTTTAAGACTTTAAACAACAAGCAAAACATGTCCTAAGAGAGTTTACAACCATGAACACATAAGAATATGGTCATTTGGTCGTAAACTCCACAAGGTGGTCTTATTATGCCCCTAATGCTTTCCTAAGGCTTGGAATTGATCATTTGATGCCCAATCATGACTTGTAAGACCTTAAAACCCAATCACGGCCCTAAACTCATGGGGAAATGGTCATGGGCCGCAAACTCCATAAAGGGGTGGTTCATGGGCCATAAACTCCAATTCCATGTCATACAACCCTTAGGTGCAACCCTTTCGTACCTGTAGCACTTGAATCAAAGTGTTTCTATGATATAGGGTGTATTAACTTGATAAATTAGTTATTAATTAACTAATTAGATACATATATGTTTGATTATATGTTAAATAGGACCATTGTGTGTGTTCAGGTCCTCACTTGACACCTAACACCTTGTCCGACACTTCCATTCAATCCGCTCACTACAGGTGAGTCCATACCCCTTAATTAACCTTTTTAAATGTTTTCAAATGTTTTTAAATGCTTTATGGGGGGATACAAGTTGAAACATGCTAGTTATTAAATCAATCATATGTGATTAATACCTAGCATGCAAATAGATTTACTACACTTTTAGCGGTTTTACCAAACAGATTACTTCAAATGACTCTCCAAAACATTTTTACTAGTTTACAACTCTTTATCAAACTGTGTTACATACTAAATGGTTCTTTTCAAAACTCTGTTACAATTGTGTTTCCAAAACAAAGGATTCATTATACTTTAAACTGTTCTTATCAAATAAACTATTTTCAAACTGTTTTACAAACTGACATCAAGTCACCTTTTCTTAGTTCTTAAACTCTTCAAAGGTTTTTACAAAACTTCTTTTATACTTTTATATTGTCAACTGCATGCCTAGATATGTATAGTTATATAAATAATGTTTGAAGGACTTAGGAAGGTTAACCTGCCTTATTTCCTTTTCCCCGTTGGGATGTGGTCTGGTAGGGTATCGGGTATCCATCCGAAGGTTGTTTAACTATTAATTATATATCATGTGTACATATATAGTCATAAAGGTTCTTCTAGTCAATTCAATACCCTTGGGTAGCAAGGGTATACTTCCATGTTCATACATACAAGTTATATTACTAGTAAGCTACAATAGGCATAGTTTAGGGTTTTACTAATACTAATACTAGAACAATGAATCATACAAAGAGTCAGTTCGTACATGAGTCATAACTTATAGTGATGAGAAACAAACATAATACATAGTGCTGAGAAACAAACATAATACATAGTGATGAGAAACAAACATAATACATAGTGATGAGAAACAAACATAATACATATTGATGAGAAACAAACATAATACATAGTGAAGAGAGACAAACATAATCCATAGTGATGAGAAACAAACATAATACATAGTAATGAGAAACAAACATAATACATAGTGATGAGAAACAAACATAATACATAGTGATGAGAAACAAACATACAGGCTAGACAGAGGAAGAACACACAATACAGCTAGCACATACATTACATATACATTACATTCAGTTATGTGAGCCATTAAACGAGTCATGGCACTACCTACCATGACCGTTTTTGTATCTATAATCTCCTTAATTAGGGAGCGTATGACTTTGCGTATAGATCTATACTAGATTGACTATCCTACACCTTGTTGCTCGCTACAGTGGGACTTGCAAGTCTACGGGTGCCAAATGTCATTTCTTACGGCGTCTCACATCGTCGTTTTACTATTGAGTCGGTAGCAGGATACAAGCCGATCACATGTTACTTTAAATTTCATTTGGTTTAAGGTAGTTAGTACAGCAGTAGTCACTTATTATAAAACTACAGTACTTTATTATTTCCCCATTACATTCACTTTGTGAACATTCACACGATGCACGGTAATGTAAATACTATATTTTGGTTAATGATAGTTAGATTGGGGAAAATACACACTCTTACAATAGAAACAGTTAGATACTAGATGCCTTGGTAGAAGGCTACTTTCAGTAGGAAGCATAGGGTTTTCTAGGTTATTCAAAACTTTTACATACTCATACTTACAAATACAGTCTTACAAATACATTATTATAAATACGGACACTAAAATACTTATGATCTCACCAGCATTAAAGTTTATACTCTCCTTCAAAATAACTTGTATCTTCAGATCAATAGTAGACAGGTACCGATGCAAGGTTTAGAGAAGATGGAGTTCGTTCAAGACTCATCTTTCATTTTGATTCATACTTTAGTGTCTATTAAACATGTCAGAACACTTGTATTAAAATTATATTATTAATGCAATGGATGATGTTGTTGCTTGTTTACTACTATTCATTGTTGTGATACTGTACATGACGTCCTCCGCCCCAGAACGTTTCCGCCATTCCTGGTTTTGGGGTGTGACAAATGTCTATGAAGCAATTCAAGATTCTTAACAAGAAGTTGAATTCAATAGTTTAATCTCAAGAAGATATGAAGGAAGTAATTATGTGTCCAGTCGAGAAATTGATGGAATGCTTAAAGCTGTCGAAGCAAGGATGGTTAGCAAATGCTCAGGATTGATTCAAGCATCTGAGTCACGCATAATGGAGAAAGTCGATCTAAATGATCAGAGTAATGAACTTCGAATCAAATCTCAATCTTCAACGTTTAATGATGAAGTTAAATATTTTCGAAGGATTGCCAAAGAAATACATGTGATGTTTGTTCAAGATGTCAAAAAGGTACGAGAAGATGTTAATTTCAAACTTCAAGAGCTTCGAGAAGATATGGAAAAAGAAATTGAAGTGGTGCAACGTGGTTATGCTTCTTTAAACCAGCAAGTTGACATTATTGATGAGGTTGTCACCAAGTTCGTGAAGCTATATGAAGCCTTGAGTCCACAGCTTTCTCAATTGTCTACCATAGAATCTACTAGTTTTGTTGAGATCAATAATCAATTCAAAGAGTTGAAAGCTTTAATATTGAAGTCCAGTTCTTCTCCATTGATAAATCCTAAGTTTTTATCTCAGAATTTTACTCAATTTGAAGCCATTCTTCATAAACAATTGGCCCCTTTGTCGAGAATTTCAAGTCTTTTTCCAACAGATGCCCCCTATTGTCACAGGGGGCAAGGGGGAGAAGGAAGGTTGGTGGAAGTTCGCATGAAGAGGTAAAGGTTGTTGGAAAAGTGTTCTAAAAAAATATCAACAACAAATCCAATAATTTCGATTGTTGGTCCAGTAAGTTCAGCAGTAGTGACTACAAGGCCAATCACCAAAGGTATAGTGATTCGATCATTTGGTGAAGGGTGCAGTAGTTCGAAACCAAAGGAAATTGTTAAAAATCCTAGGAATCAAGACAAAGGAAAAACAATTATTGTCGAGAAAACAAAAGAAGAAAGGAAAGTCGAAGTAGAAGCAAAGATGGAGAAGTAAAGGATTATTCAAAGTATTCTTCAACTTCAAGGAAATGATCCTCCTGGAATGAATAAGGGAGATCCAAGCAAGCATTACAACTATGAGACAATCGAGCCAAAACTGGCTTACAATCAAATGTATGCTTTTAAGAAAAAGCCAAAGCAAAGCTATGTGGTTACAAACACAGATATGAGCCAACTTGATTTTCTTGTGAACGAGATGATGTTCATAATGGCTCAGTACAAAATTGCTAAAAATTTCGATAATGAAGATGATTACACCTACATGAAACTGAGATTTCATGCTGTTCTTGAAAAATTACCAGAGGAGATATGGTCTCTGGTAAAGATCAAAAAGGTGCTTAGCATTACAAAGGATGTCTTGTTTGAGAATATGATGCAGGATTTTAGATATCATGTTATAAGGGCAAATAATCAGATCTGTGATTTTTCAGTTGTTGATTTTCCTTTAATAAACTTGTATGATCTCATACAAGTTACATTACTTTTAAAAGACAAGAATGCTTTGCATCTTCAAGGAACAGATGTAACACCGTGATTTTCAAGACAAAATTTTCGTTTAAAATAATCATTTTAATATTAAAACACTTGTTTAAAATCTCATTCATAATTGAATTACAAAACATAGTTCATTTTCACTTGAATACAAAACCAGGATCCTCCAAAACATAACTCTTTCTCTGGTGTGTACAATCGAGCCGGTGCCATCCTGTGTTACTGAAAGAACCTGAAAACAACATAACACAAAACACTGTAAGCACGAAGCTTAGTGAGTTCCCCAATATACAACTTACGCATATACGCCTTTCCAGGCCCTGACCTTACGGTCCACTACACAACGCCTTCCGGCCCATGAGATAATCGCCTTCCGGCCCATAACGTATTGCCTTCCGACCCATAGCACATTGCCTTCCGGCCCATAACGTATTGCCTTCCGGCCCATATAAACATACATAGCACGCATAGCAATTATCTTTCCATTTATAGCACCTATAACACATATCATATCCAACCTTCCGGTCACACAATCAAACCCTTCCGGGTACAGTATAGTGAGAAGACTCACCTCGAGGATACTGGAAATCAGCAACTCCTGAAATCACTCGTACTCGATCCGCCGAGCTACAGACTCCCTGGATAATATCGTGCATCGCTTATTAACACCTTTATCTTTCAAGACAACTGACCCTAAGAAATCACACACAGGTCAACTCTGGTCAACAGTCCACGGTCAACTCGACCGGACTCGGCGAGTACCCTGGCGACTCGGCGAGTCTAGTCGTCCTCCAATCCTCTAAGTTTTCCCTTCTACTCGTCGAGTATCCTCCTTGACCCGACGAGTTACTCCTGGAAGAATCGCGGGGCCACCCCGACTCCACTCGCCGAGTCTGAGGAACAACTCGACGAGTCCCAGTTATTCTTCAAGCTACTCGCCGAGTCTGCTCATCTGACTCGGCGAGTCCATGCCATGCAGCCGCGCAAACTGCTTCCTAAGGTCATAACTGCTCCGACCATTCATAGGTCTGGCCTTCCTCGACTGGTCCATTACATAAGGTCTTCATTTAGGTGCTCATGATACACCCCAAGACTTATAATTTACATGTTGACCTAAGGCATAAGGATTTCAATCCAAAACCTTCACCAATTCCCGAAATGCACAGACATGGGATATTCTGGACCTCCAAGGGTCCTAATACAGGGTTACAATCGTTTGGGGAACAAGGGTAACATTCAATCTATCCATAAAAGGGTTCCATAAACCCTAATCCTCTAAATACATCACCATAGCAGAGTATACACGAATCCTTACCTGGATAATGTGCTCTCTGTGTCCCCAATCCTCAGAATGTGACCCCCTTGCTGTTCCTTTAGCCAAGCCCTTCTCTTCTTTGCACAACAACTCCTTCAAAATCACCAATGGCCCTTAGCTTTGCTCCAGATGCACACAATCGGTTTAGGGTTCCTCCCAGAAGGCTAAAACGAACAATGACGGCCAATAAGTCCCCTTTATACGTCCCAAACCTAAACGGCTAGGGTTTTCGCTAAACAGCGCAGACTCGCCGAGTCCCTATCTGACTCGTCGAGTCCAGTCGCGAACCCGCGACCAGGTCTGCGATCCTACTCGGCGAGTCTGGCTCCAACTCGCCGAGTCCCCCCTTAAAACACCCCATAAATATAATTTCAACAATACTTGAGATTCCGGGCTGTTACAATTCTCCCCCACTAGAATCAGACTTCGCCCTCGAAGTCTTACTCTGAAAATAGTTCCGGATGCTGCTCCCGCATCTCACGTTCCGACTCCCAAGTCATTTCCGATCCATTCCGGGGTTGCCACTGAACCAATACCAGAGGTACCTCCTTGTTCCTCAGAACCTTTATCTTCCGATCCCTGATGGCCACTGGTCTCTCAGCATAACTCAGGCTCGCATCCACCTAAATGTTCTCCAGTGGAACCACTGCTGACTCATCGGCTATATACTTCTTCAATTGCGACACATGAAAAGTGTCGTGGATCTATCTCAATTCCGTTGGCAACTCCAAACGGTAGGCCACCCGTCCTCCCCTCACAATCTCACGAAAAGGTCCAATATACCGGGGCCCCAACTTGCCCCTCTTCCTGAATCGAATCACTCCTTTCCAAGGAGAGACCTTCAGGAATACGAAGTCGCCGACCTGAAACTCAAACTCGGACCGGCGTCTGTCTGCATAACTTTTCTGTCGGCTCTAGGCGATCAATATCCTCTGTTTAACCTGCTGAATCTGCTCTGTCGACTGAAGCACGATCTCTGTACTGCCCGCCACTCCTTGTAACCGAGAATTACCCAAGATGCAACTCTGCTCTAAATCTCAACGATCACTCGGCCCATAAGGGTTAGGAAACCATGAATCATCGGATCCCCGATCCAAAGCCCACTATATCCATTTCAGAACGACTGAGAGACCCATTCTCACTCTCAGAGCAACTCTCACGAGTTCTCCTCTTGCAATCGCATACACATGCTGCACTAGCCCCAACATACCTTTCTCTTCCCTTGCCTAGGGAAATTCGCTTGACGACCTTGCCACTACTCCATGTATCGCACATGCTCTGGATCTGTTCGCAAGGACTCTCGGGTCCATGCGTTACCTCTCCTCAGCAAATGAGGGTCCGATACCACCTCCTATGCAACAGCTCAAAGGGCGGCATACCAATGCACTAATGATGGTTGTTGATATGGGACAACTCAACCAAGGATAAATACGTACCGCGGCTTCCTCCGAAATCTAGTACACATGCCCGAAGCATGTCTTCGAGCGTCTGGATCGTTTTCCTCTCTCTAAAGTGTCCTCAGACATCATCATAATAAACTCTAGCTTGTTTCTCCTATCCCTCTTCGAGCCCGAGTACCAGGTCAGCTTTTGGCTCCACGGCTGAGCCCCCAACGGTCACTCATATCATGATCCAAATATCCCACTAACTTCCTCCCCGTGACCACTATCCCGACCCAGTGACACACAAGTCACAAAATCTTCTTTTCTTCATGCGAAAAAAAAATACAATCCAACCGAGGATCGTCTCAACTCAATTCCCTGGTTTCTGCTGCGCATATTCCTTGCGTATCTCCCCGCATCTCCTGACAGAGACGGAGACCCCCAACTCAACATCCAAGCTCCAAAGACTCAATACCAGGGCTACTCAAACCCAACTCTTCCACATCATACACTGCTCGAAAACATTCCAACATCGAAATTCTCTTGCCATCTAGTGAGTATTGCAACTCCACGCAATATCACAACACCCTTTGAGTAGGGAGTACTACGGCTCGAATATCCATCACAGACTCTGGAGGCAATCAACATAACAAATGCCCATCTTTGCGAAAATCCACTCTCTCAAATAATCTCCCCGGATGCCCATACTCGAAAGGCTCCCACTAGATCCACAGATACTTGATATGCCACACGTCGATTCAATTCAGGATTCATTAGTAACTCCTAAATAAAGATATCATACCCAGATATCTCAGAGTACCCCAACAGAACACCACAAGATCCTGCCACAACCACTGATCTCCTGCCCCAAGCATCATATATACACAATAATACGTTTCCTCTGAACCCCATAATTAGATCTACATTTTTCCCATATTACAACTTCGGTGCATATAATTTCTCGATTAGAATACGAGAAAACGCTGACGCTACGAAATATACTGATAATTCTCCGAAACCCCTTTTTCCCGACGCTCAAAATCCAAACAAGGATACGCATACCGACCCCGGGAGTTGGCTGCCCAATCATTCTCTATCTACTTCCAACAACACCAAACACCTATCATGGATACATTCGTTCTCCTCCTCAGGTACTTCCCGCATTAACTCACTCTGACCCTTTTCCTCGTTCACCGACACCTCTAGTCTCATGATTTCTTACAGCATATCTCTATACTTCACTTATAACTACTCTTGACAAATCTTTGCTTCCCTTACATACTGTACCCGGTTCTCCCCCACTTAGGGTTCGAACCATTACCAATTAGCACACATCCAACCCACGACTATTTTTCACCAGCGAAATCGCACCTGCTCCAGGAGGATGC